GTAAATTATCAACCTTAGGATTACACTTGTAATATATACTTTATAAAGATTTGGGGGTCTTTTCAGGTAAAACGAGATGAACTTAAAGGTAAATTGATTGTACTAAGATTGGTACAGAAGCTGATCACAACTAGAGAAATTAATCCTTAATCAAATATGTGATTATATACCTGCTTGATTTCATTATCATTACACCTTTTATCCAGGTACCTCTTTATTAATCAACTCATATTCTCGTCAACTTCAAAACTTCAAACTTAGATGTATCATATGTCTCTATCTAATTGCATTGAATAATCTATAGTGTCTTTGACAGTCATTTTACTTTCTAAGTTAGACTTAAAAGAGATCAAAACTTTCAATAACAAAAATGTAAGCATGGTTGATGAAACATACGGGTACAACATACAAGATAAGATGATAGGGATGACCAAACTTTGCTGACCACTCAGGATGCTGTGAGGGGTGTACATGTACTGTAAACACAAATACATATTTTCCACATGTACTGTGAAGAGATATTTATCACTGTCCTGCTGTACTTTGGTTGTGCCCGATGATTACTGTTATTTTAGCATGTGTTAGATGCCTGTTAAGCACAGAGTAGGGAAGGCTCTGGAGGAGGTTCTCATCAGAAGTCTAGAAGTAGGGGTCGGCTGCTGGTAATGTTCACACCTGTATATCTGAAGACTGTCGATTCTGACAAGGTTTGACATGTCTGCACTTCTCCTATAACACTTAAAGGGTCTGGACATAAATATACTACCCCTGTCTGAGACAATGATAATCTTATCAACCTACACGTAACACAGTAAGTAGTCATTTCTGAAACAGCATAGCACCCGAAACGAGGGGCGATATATATATACATGTATATATGAAGTGCATTTATGGGTTTTTTAGTTTTTACATGGAAGTATGTATGCAATGCTGTGCCATAAATATTGCATAATGTACCACTCCATAAGCACATACAGTATGTAATGTGACTAATGCATAATTTATAGAAGAAATATGTTCTTCTAAGGCTGAAATCTAAAGCAATCTGATAATTTACTATCAAACACGTTTTACAGATATTAGCATGCTAAGATGTACTCATAACAATTGAAACAGCACTGCTTGGTCATGGATGTGCACAAGTGTATGGGCCCCCTCATCTTGATTTAGAACAAGACAACAGTGATATATAAAGATGGCATCTTTGATCTTTTACCTGAATGACCATGAGGCATAATGACATATAATTATATTAATAAGCTGCCTTTTGCCCAAGAAGTCATGAACACATCACTTTCAAAAATATTCAATATCCTCCAGCATTGCTTATCATCAGGTCATTATAGTTTACTTCTATGCTATTTGTAATGAACAAAACAAGTTCATTTGCATCCGAAATGAAGACAAATAAAACATCTTAATTTAATACTATTTAAACATGCTGCATATAATCTAAAACAGTCAAACAAAATGGATTCACCGTTAATCCTACCGAAATATCTCTCTCGGAAAAAACCCCAAGAATAACTCTTTTCAAGTACATTTTACAATTCAATGCATGCATATGGAATTTCTAATCAAGAGGGAAGTAGGCCTAGCATGTCCTTTGTACTCGAAGTATATGGGTGACAGGTGAGTGTGATAAATGACAAGTCAACATACACACAGCTGGTGACTCTGAAAACCTCACTTTTTTTAAAGGTCTTGTGTTAACAATCTGCCTGTCAAAATTACCAAATACTGGATAAGCCTGCACTTGAGGGCATTCTACCAACCATACTCCTGTGGTGTATAAACTCTGTTAAACAACCACTTCAAAGTGTGCCCTAAAATAAATATTGGACAGGACCTGATCGACACTGTAACCTGTAAACTCCAAAAAGGAGACATTTAGAAACTTTACATTAACCTAGCAAATATTTGGAAAGCTTATCTACCATACAATGTGTGATGCCAGTATATAATGTTCTATAGCCAGCTGTAGCTAAATACCTCGATTGTCACTACAGATGCCAAAACACAGCCCAGTTACAGAAATTACAATTGACACAATTTCTTTTTTATTGTTTCAGACTTTTATGTGAAAGTGAGCATCAAACATCAGAGATAAAAAATGTATGCTATCATTTCCACCCAACAAAGACATTCAAATTGCTGGTTGATCTTTAGACCATCACTGACACCAAACTTTAATGCATCTGACAGTAGCAATTAAATGATGATAATGGGGTTGGAATAAATCAAGACACACTACAAGGGCCGAATTCACAGAGGGTCCTATGTGTTTTCTATCAAACTGATCCAACTCACTGGATTAAAGCCAGAGAACTTGATCTCTTGGTTAAGAAATGTGGATGATTCAGCATGAAATACCATTCGTTTGTGTACCACCATGATTCAGGGTTCAGCATCAGTACCAGGATACAAGAAACTCATCTGTACCTAACATTGCTTTTCAGCATGAAACATTTATACTTGTATCTTCAAATCATGCCCCAGTATACAAACCATTTGCACTCAAGACTCCAATTTTTTAAACAGACTCGGTTTATTTATGAGTAACTTAGCATCAATGCAGGATGGGTGAAGGTTAGCTTTGTAAGTGTGGGCGGTGGAAGTTGATTGGGCGATTTGAGATGGCAGGTAAACGAGAAGTGATAATCAAAATGTTAAGGTAAATATGAGGATGATTACAATGATTGGACCCTATTTGTGGAGGTGGGAGGTAAACGAGAAGTGATAATCAGTGTTAAGGTAAATACAAGGATAATTACAATGATTGGACCCTATTTGTGGAGGTGGGAGGTAAACGAGAAGTGATAATCAGTGTTAAGGTAAATACAAGGATAATTACAATGATTGGACCCTATTTGTGGAGGTGGGAGGTAAACGAGAAGTGATAATCAGTGTTAAGGTAAATACAAGGATAATTACAATGATTGGACCCTATTTGTGGAGGTGGGAGGTAAACGAGAAGTGATAATCAGTGTTAAGGTAAATACAAGGATAATTACAATGATTGGACCCTATTTGTGGAGGTGGGAGGTAAACGAGAAGTGATAATCAGTGTTAAGGTAAATACAAGGATGATTACAATGATTGGACCCAAGGATAATTTGGAGGTGGGAGGGAGAAGTGGTGTTAAGGTAAATACAAGGATGATTACAATGATTGGACCCTATTTGTGGAGGTAATCGAGAAGTGATAATCAGTGTTAAGGTAAATACAAGGATAATTACAATGATTGGACCCTATTTGTGGAGGTGGGAGGTAAACGAGAAGTGATAATCAGTGTTAAGGTAAATACAAGGATGATTACAATGATTGGACCCTATTTGTGGAGGTGGATGAGAAGGAGAGGGTAAATAGAAGGGTTAGGGAGACAATGGAGTAAAATTATTAACCAGTAAATAGGTAAGTTGATACATAATTAAGTGGGTGACCCATTAATTGAGAGTTAATGAGCATTTGAGTGAATGCACATAGAGGTTGAGCAGGGTTGGAGCATAGATAATGTGAGGTAAATGAGACATAATCAAAGTTGACTAATCAACTGATCAAAGTTGGTTGACTGGGAGGTAAATGAGTAGATGTGAATCATGGAGGGGTGGCTGGGAGGTAAATGAGTAGATGTGAATCGTGGAGGGGTGGCTGGGAGGTAAATGAGTAGATGTGAATCGTGGAGGGGTGGCTGGGAGGTAAATGAGTAGATGTGAATCGTGGAGGGGTGGCTGGGAGGTAAATGAGTAGATGTGAATCGTGGAGGGGTGGCTGGGAGGTAAACGAGTAGATGTGAATCGTGGAGGGATGGCTGGGAGGTAAACAAGTAGATGTGAATCATGGAGGGGTGGCTGGGAGGTAAATGAGTAAAGGTAGATCATGGTGGAGTGGGTACCCTTGTGTGTATTGACTGGAAACAGGGAATTCAGTAATTGATAGGACATTAAGGGTACCTTATAATTGAATTGAAAAGCAAATGTGTTATGAGAAATGCAATAACATTCATTACCAACATGACACTTGGACTTACACAACAGGTATGATAAACCAGCTTACTACTGTGCATTAGGTATACACGGTTGTAGGTACTGTCATTTCCACCTCAACAGCCAGAGAGTGCTATAGATATAATAACTAAGGAGATTCAGATTATGCATAATGCTGACTGAATATAGTCAGTATACATACACACACCACTCCATAGCTAGGCCTGGACACTAGCTACCTGCAGGTACCTGGCGTTAGTACTACACATCTAATAGCCAACGTGTGTCCAGCATATGTTGTTGATGAACATATATGTGACATTCATCACATGTGTAGAATACCTCAGAGTTGTGATACACTCCAAACCACTCATTTATCCAGAAGTACGCCTACAACCTAATTTACATCAATTAGTAAAGACTAACTGAAATTTGTATACCACTGTATATCCCCGTGTGTTTGCAATGAGAATGACACAACTTGTGACGTTTCACGTAAATCATGAATAGGATGCATGTAAATTGTGGTCTATCTGTGTCACTGCGTGAGGGTGTGTACACATGTGTAAGCAAATGTATCTGTAATAGAACCTTATTAATTTTGTGTACATCAATACATAAGATAAATATGATACAATGTAAGACTTATCAAATATATTAGCATTGTAAAACATAACAAGTAAACCTATTATATATGGTCTACATTGTTGCAGGAATGTACATATGAGTTATATGGTGCATATCATTTGAAAAGGCTAATATCCATCATCGCTGTTTGCCATTAAGTCATGATTTAAGGTGTTGAAACTTCTATTGTCTCGGCGTTACAGTTGAGTAATCACACATCTATACAATTTGCGCCCGCTGAGTAAATAAGCGGGTCTAACCATTTTATAACGCTGTGTATATAAAAAAAGACACCTTGTAATACAGATTGGTTGTAATTCAATATGAGGATCAATTTGTCCACAGAGTCTTGATCGTCAACATTACATTATAGGAGAGGAAACATACCTGTAAATGTATGGGCACTTTCTTGACTGGGGTACGGTTAGTCATTTTGTCACGCAAACAAGTAGCTGTTCTGCCAAGAGGTATGCGAATAAATTAAACTTCCGCTCTGTATCACTACTCAATTCAACACGTGCAGAATCCCGGCGTTTTTAAAACTGAATGCAAGCAATGAGGTCAGTGTGTAGGATTAGCATCCCCAACCAGAGAGTCCTGTATCACTAAATTGTCGATGTCGGGCAATCGTTGACTTGTCACTACTCTATGGCGACTGAAACTCACTCCAGACTATGTAACATTAACATAAACAGTGCACACAGTCAAACCATCAAACGAACCGCGGGACCAGGCCTTACACACAAACCCACTATCGCTCCTATACACACAAAATATGGATGCCGCCTTAGGATCGATACTGCACAGCCAAGGCCCGGCGACTGGCATACGGTAACCGTCTTCCGGAAATAGGCCGCCGGTATTTTCATAATAAATGCACGTGGTTTCACAATGACGCGTGAAATTTAATTCCGAGGTTAGCCTACTCAATGAAAACAACGTGACATAGTTAGGAATGCAGGCGTATTTGTGAGTATGTAGTCGTGTTTATACACTGTAATTCAACACATATGGGACTTGACGATCTCACGTGCGTAAGGTGCAATGCACATGTTCGGCAAGGATATATTGAAGCAGCGAAGAGTATTACATAATACAACACTCTATTGACTATAGACGTGAAGCTTACAGGTTTTCATGTTTTGTCTACCGATTTTCTAATATAAATACTATGTTTTTGGGTTTATTACTTACAAAAGAAATCTCCAACTTTGATTTGTTTCTGACTTTTTGAGCAGCGGAGGACCTACCAAGGTATCATGTACCGGATCAGATCCAAGCTACATATATTGGTTTTTGATGGGATAAAAAACACTGTTTAGACAAATAACATAAATTAGGCTACCATAGCTTAAAGATTCCAATTAAATTGAAAGAGACGTGCAGTTACATTTATAAATAATACAAAAACAAGTAATTTTTACTGGACTAACTATGAAACCGGATTTGGAAATTTAGCTATAATGCTTTATGTGTCTTTCCACACTGACAACTTATTAAATACATTGTAAATCACGTTTTGGTTTTTTTTATTATTTTCTTGTAGTATTAATTGATGATTTGACTCAAATGTGGTAACTACCATTGCTACACTATGTAAGGAACTACATTCACATTGTTAGAACTAAATACAAGGATAATTAAGGTATCTAGGCTTATTAAGTGTTTACAATCAAAATGAAAGACAACAAGCAAAGCCTAAAAACTGCAACCATTCTTTGGTTAATACTTTTAGTATATTATACAACCTGATACAACAGGAGATAGCCATATGATTAAAATATTTCAACCATTCATTTTCAAGTGATTTGGCTTGAATTGCAAATAATATCCCATCTTTTCAGCCTAAATCATCCACACAATATTATACAGGTACTGTAATATATCAGGTGTGGTTGATTCTTGTAATGGTCGAAGGGAAACAACTCATGTTTGTCCTCAAAGTAAAAGTTTGGACCCAACTGGCATGATATTGTAAAGGGAAATAACCAAGTATTCTTTACCATGGAATTAGTTTTTTGTCTATCAAATAGATGAAAATGTCATTAATGCAGCTCTGCATTTTATCTTTTTATGTTTAGTCCACCACCTCTTCTTTAGCCAAGAATAAACAAGAGTTTTCTGAAATACATTTTGAAAGCAGATTAGAAACACATAATTGCTAAGATTTGCACTCATTGTATGAATACTGTATATGAATGTCAGACTATTTCACAATTGAAAATTTTCATAGAATTGGACAATTTATTTTGGAGAAAATAGATTTGCTAATCACTCTTACATCATTCACAGAATATATTTGTATGACGAATATCTTAAGTTCTTGAATTAATGAGGATCTGGTGTTTCTAGGTGATATTTTCCAAGACGAAACAGTTAGGGTATGTGTGATGGATATATCCTCTCATGTGTCTGCTCGGAAATTCTTGAACTTTTTCTTTATTAGTCTGATGTTCTATTTAAGTTGTGTCAGAAACAAAAGCTGCTAATATTTTACTGGGGTGATACTCCTACATATTTACATACACAGCACAATTAACCTATTGTGGTCTCTAAAACATAACTCAGTTCTTAGACCATCCATGTACACTAGTAATCACATGGACATACCAGAAACACGATGGGGAGAACTCAAGCATAGCTCTAAATTGCCACTAAAACACAGTGAGATAAATTGCAGTTTCTGTATCCCAGACAAACTAACTACAGGGATGTGTTATCTTGCTGGTATGCAAAGGAATTATTCATGGCTTTTGTTTTGACATTGACACAAGCTAGACAGCAGGTTCACAAAAAGGAGCAAAAAATCTGATGTTATGGGAACTCTTAAATTACAGTCAAATACTAACGCAGCTTTTACCATGATTTAACGAGAAATTGATGTCCATACTTTTGGTTTGAGAAATTTGTTAAATAATTACAAGTAGTATTGTATTTACTTTCTGATCTCCACGGAGGACAAAATAATCGGAACAATCTGGGAACTGTCACGGTTCTGGTTTGTCTTTATCATATTGAGCATAATTAACATTGAACAGTTACCAGATGCTAGTTATACAGCCATTGTGAATACAATTAGGATAACATACACTCTATATCATTATTATTACTGGCCTATTTGGGTATCCAATAAAATCTCAAAATAGCTGATAGGCGGTCATCCTGAATGTTCTCATTAAAACCTGTATTGAGCTTGTCACACGATTCACTTCAATAGTTCTTCAGAAATAGTGGCAACAATTTCACTTTTAGATATTGAAACTCAAAATGGCCAGTGTCGGCCATCTTTGAATATCAGATCAGATAAAATGGGTAGCCTGTGCAATAAGGATTGACCAACACTTAACATTTTTGAAAAGTCTCCAAGAAATCTCTTAAGTGTTCTTCAGGAAAAGCTGAACCAAAAAAGGCTTTTACAGGACGGAATGACAAACAGATTGGCTGAAGGAGGACCTAGGGAGAAAAGTGATTTGTAAAGTACAACATGTAGATCTGATGATGGTGGACTTCACATTTATTACAATGTCAATTTTATATAAAGTATTGTACAACAATGACATGAGAAACCGCTTTTCACACCTGAACGGAGAACCAAACCCATCATTGTCTCCAGAGTCGAGTGTTCTAATTACCATTGTACAGGCGATATGTAAGTCAGATGGTACACACACTGGAGAACCAAACCCATCATAGTCTCCTGAGTCGAATGTACTAATTACCATTGTACAGGCGATATGTAAGTCAGATGGTACACACACTGGAGAACCAAACCCATCATAGTCTCCTGAGTCGAATGTACTAATTACCATTGTACAGGCGATATGTAAGTCAGATGGTACACACACTGGAGAACCAAACCCATCATAGTCTCCTGAGTCGAATGTACTAATTACCATTGTACAGGCGATATGTAAGTCAGATGGTACACACACTGGAGAACCAAACCCATCATTGTCTCCTGAGTCGAATGTACTAATTACCATTGTACAGGCGATATGTAAGTCAGATGGTACACACACTGGAGAACCAAACCCATCATAGTCTCCTGAGTCGAATGTACTAATTACCATTGTACAGGCGATATGTAAGTCAGATGGTACACACACTGGAGAACCAAACCCATCATAGTCTCCTATATGTACTAATTACCATTGTACAGGCGATATGTAAGTCAGATGGTACACACACTGGAGAACCAAACCCATCATAGTCTCCTGAGTCGAATGTACTAATTACCATTGTACAGGCGATATGTAAGTCAGATGGTACACACACTGGAGAACCAAACCCATCATAGTCTCCTGAGTCGAATGTACTAATTACCATTGTACAGGCGATATGTAACAGTCAGATGGTACACACACTGGAGAACCAAACCCATCATTGTCTCCTGAGTCGAGTGTACTAATTACCATTGTACAGGTGATATGTAAGTCAGATGGTACACACACTGGAGAACCAAACCCATCATTGTCTCCTGAGTCGAGTGTACTAATTACCATTGTACAGGCGATATGTAAGTCAGATGGTACACACACTGGAGAACCAAACCCATCATTGTCTCCTGAGTCGAGTGTACTAATTACCATTGTACAGGCGATATGTAAGTCAGATGGTACACACACTGGAGAACCAAACCCATCATTGTCTCCTGAGTCGAGTGTACTAATTACCATTGTACAGGCGATATGTAAGTCAGATGGTACACACACTGGAGAACCAAACCCATCATAGTCTCCTGAGTCGAATGTACTAATTACCATTGTACAGGCGATATGTAAGTCAGATGGTACACACACTGGAGAACCAAACTCATCATAGTCTCCTGAGTCGAGTGTACTAATTACCATTGTACAGGCGATATGTAAGTCAGATGGTACACACACTGGAGAACCAAACTCATCATAGTCTCCTGAGTCGAGTGTACTAATTACCATTGTACAGGCGATATGTAAGTCAGATGGTACACACACTGGAGAACCAAACTCATCATAGTCTCCTGAGTCGAGTGTACTAATTACCATTGTACAGGTGATATGTAACAGTCAGATGGTACACACACTGGAGAACCAAACCCATCATAGTCTCCTGAGTCGAGTGTACTAATTACCATTGTACAGGCGATATGTAAGTCAGATGGTACACACACTGGAGAACCAAACCCATCATAGTCTCCTGAGTCGAGTGTACTAATTACCATTGTACAGGTGATATGTAACAGTCAGATGGTACACACACTGGAGAACCAAACCCATCATTGTCTCCTGAGTCGAGTGTACTAATTACCATTGTACAGGTGATATGTAAGTCAGATGGTACACAACTGGAGAACCAAACTCATCATTGTCTCCTGAGTCGAGTGTACTAATTACCATTGTACAGGTGATATGTAACAGTCAGATGGTACACACTCTCTGAGTTGACAATGACATATATATATATAAACCTCACAAGGTCTTATTCTTTATTATATCCTCTGTAAACTCTTATTTTATTTGCTGAAATGATATTGAAAATATTAAGTAGACTGTAGATAGTACCAGGCACCAACATTTCCACTTAATTAACAACATCTTGATATCACAGTGAAATGATTCATTAATGTAAAGGTTTTTGACATCTGAAACAAACATGAAAAAGAAGATTGAAAGTATTTGGCTGTACTGAATTGTAAGGCAATCCTTAAATAGATGAACATGTGAGGTTAGATGGTCAGACGGTGTTCCCCAACCCTGTCAAAATACCATGTGAAACCTCCATCCAGGCTGCACAACAGATGGTAGCTGTAGATTTGTTTGAGTAATATTCTTCCAACCAATTACTGCTTCATATTAACAACTAACATCCTAACCCACATGCAATTAGTCAATTTAACATGCATTGGCAATGAGGCAGACAGA